GCTGTCGGACGAGTGGCTTAGAAATGACAGCAGTCTGAAGTTGGTTGCAGTTTTTTTCATCGCACCCTGTACTACCAAATACAATAAACTAAAACAGTTGAAGTAGAATTATCTCGATTTCCATCGAATTTTATTTCCACTCAAAAAACCAGCAAATCTTACTCGCTTTGATCCCTGTATTGACATAAAAAATTGAGAATAATTATTTTTTTACAATCAGAAGTGCTCTCTCTCTCTCGAATTAAAATTGAAAGTGAAACATTTCAGAGGTGTGGTTCATATTTTGATATAGATACCACATGTAGCTCTAGCTTTTATAGAAATAATACATCACACTGGCTTTGTTTGTATATTTAAGTTGAATGTTAGATCGACATACCACCAACTTCCTATTAGAATAAGTTTTGTCTTTGTCGTCATTCTGTCAAATGTTTGCAAAAACCACATAAAGTACGGCTCTAACCTTTAAATATGTTTTTAATATTTATGAATTTCTAGCATAGATGTTTCCTAGCGCCTATACAAATTGGCGCAAAAGTAATTTTCCATCCGGAAGCCTGGTACATGCATATGTACTTGACAGACAGACATTCCGATGTTTTTGGCTGCAATTAAGACATTAGGGACCAATCGTAAAATTAATAGCATTTTTTGATAATTGTGTATATTATTGTGACTCGTTACTATCTCGTTTAAAGGGATTTTAAGCATATATTAAAAAAGGAGCTTGAGTGTTCAAATTTTTGACCAAAAAAATTCTCTTATTCTTATCAGTAATATTTCGGGAAAAAGTCTACATTCCAAAAATTTCACGAATTCCAAGGAACCTAAATCCGAAGAATTTCATTACAATTTCCATATAAATATTTAATACGCCAATACACATGGCTTCTCTTTTAACCTATACTTTTATAATCTAAAGAATTGTTTCTAAAAATAGTGTAATTTGTTCTTCGCTATAATTATACGCTATTCAGTGTCAGTTTTTTTTTTTTTTTTTTTTGGCGAATTTTGTTTTTTTTTTTAATCTTGAATTCTTCGAAAAATTAATTGTCAATATCCGCACATATCCTTGCTGCTCCACCAAAATCCAGTTCAATTCGAACAAGATACATACGCCAATACACATGGCTTCTCTTTTAACCTATACTTTTATAATCTAAATAATTGTTTCTAAAAATTATAATAAAAGTTAATTTTTGTCGCATAGTGTAATTTGTTCTCCGCTATAATTATACGCTATTCAGTGTCAGTGTTTTTTTCTTTTTTTGGCGAATTTTGTTTTTTTTTAATCTTGAATTCTTCGAAAAATTAATTGCCAATATCCGCACATATCCTTGCTGCTCCACCAAAATCCAGTTCAATTCGAACAAGATACATACGCCAATACACATGGCTTCTCTTTTAACCTGTACTTCTATAATCTAAAGAATTGTTTCTAAAAATTATAATAAAAGTTAATTTTTGTCGCATTGTGTAATTTGTTCTTCGCTATAATTATACGCTATTCAGTGTCAGTTTTTTTTTTCTTTTTTTTTTGACGAATTTTGTTTTTTTTTTTAATCTTGAATTCTTCAAAAAATAAATTGCCAATATCCGCACATATCCTTGCTGCTCCACCAAAATCCAGTTCAATTCGAACAAGATACATTTTACAAGGCAAAAAAGAAACAGAATTTTGTTTCTTTACTCTCACTCATTTAGTAATTTGCATACAATTTTACTGACCACTTTGTCCGAGTCCGACATGCCCACACCATACATAAACAGATTTTTTAAATGCTCACCATTGTCCTTGCAATAACAATATTGGTCGTTGTTAAATCCCAACGCTGATTTTGCACAAAATGTAAATCCAATACAAATACAAATCGTGCAAATTCATTCATGCAGTTGTTCATTTTTTTCAGTAGCTTTCCGGTCAGGGGCATGTGGTGGGCTTATCGATATTCTCAAGGAAAGTTTTTACTATTTTCAAGAAACGTTTTGTCATTTTCATGTTTTTTTTTTTTTATATTTTATATATCTTCTTAGCTCCAGCAAAATTGATATATTTCCCAATTTGTCAAGCCAGCTATACTTATTTTATATAGCCCCTTTGCTCTAAAAAACTTGAGGCATTTTGCCAAAAAATAATTCTTCTACGCCCCTGCCTTGGCTAGAAAATAGACAATACACAACCAAAGTACAATGCCTCATTTCGTACCAATCGAAATGCAATTTAATTTCTGCCGTATTGTAGATTTTGCTTTGAAGTTGGTTGCAGTTTTTTTCATCGCACCCTGTACTACCAAATACAATAAACTAAAACAGTTGAAGTAGAATTATCTCGATTTCCATCGAATTTTATTTCCACTCAAAAAACCAGCAAATCTTACTCGCTTTGATCCCTGTATTGACATAAAAAATTGAGAATAATTATTTTTTTACAATCAGAAGTGCTCTCTCTCTCTCGAATTAAAATTGAAAGTGAAACATTTCAGAGGTGTGGTTCATATTTTGATATAGATACCACATGTAGCTCTAGCTTTTATAGAAATAATACATCACACTGGCTTTGTTTGTATATTTAAGTTGAATGTTAGATCGACATACCACCAACTTCCTATTAGAATAAGTTTTGTCTTTGTCGTCATTCTGTCAAATGTTTGCAAAAACCACATAAAGTACGGCTCTAACCTTTAAATATGTTTTTAATATTTATGAATTTCTAGCATAGATGTTTCCTAGCGCCTATACAAATTGGCGCAAAAGTAATTTTCCATCCGGAAGCCTGGTACATGCATATGTACTTGACAGACAGACATTCCGATGTTTTTGGCTGCAATTAAGACATTAGGGACCAATCGTAAAATTAATAGCATTTTTTGATAATTGTGTATATTATTGTGACTCGTTACTATCTCGTTTAAAGGGATTTTAAGCATATATTAAAAAAGGAGCTTGAGTGTTCAAATTTTTGACCAAAAAAATTCTCTTATTCTTATCAGTAATATTTCGGGAAAAAGTCTACATTCCAAAAATTTCACGAATTCCAAGGAACCTAAATCCGAAGAATTTCATTACAATTTCCATATAAATATTTAATACGCCAATACACATGGCTTCTCTTTTAACCTATACTTTTATAATCTAAAGAATTGTTTCTAAAAATAGTGTAATTTGTTCTTCGCTATAATTATACGCTATTCAGTGTCAGTTTTTTTTTTTTTTTTTGGCGAATTTTGTTTTTTTTTTTAATCTTGAATTCTTCGAAAAATTAATTGTCAATATCCGCACATATCCTTGCTGCTCCACCAAAATCCAGTTCAATTCGAACAAGATACATACGCCAATACACATGGCTTCTCTTTTAACCTATACTTTTATAATCTAAATAATTGTTTCTAAAAATTATAATAAAAGTTAATTTTTGTCGCATAGTGTAATTTGTTCTCCGCTATAATTATACGCTATTCAGTGTCAGTGTTTTTTTCTTTTTTTGGCGAATTTTGTTTTTTTTTAATCTTGAATTCTTCGAAAAATTAATTGCCAATATCCGCACATATCCTTGCTGCTCCACCAAAATCCAGTTCAATTCGAACAAGATACATACGCCAATACACATGGCTTCTCTTTTAACCTGTACTTCTATAATCTAAAGAATTGTTTCTAAAAATTATAATAAAAGTTAATTTTTGTCGCATTGTGTAATTTGTTCTTCGCTATAATTATACGCTATTCAGTGTCAGTTTTTTTTTTCTTTTTTTTTTGACGAATTTTGTTTTTTTTTTTTAATCTTGAATTCTTCAAAAAATAAATTGCCAATATCCGCACATATCCTTGCTGCTCCACCAAAATCCAGTTCAATTCGAACAAGATACATTTTACAAGGCAAAAAAGAAACAGAATTTTGTTTCTTTACTCTCACTCATTTAGTAATTTGCATACAATTTTACTGACCACTTTGTCCGAGTCCGACATGCCCACACCATACATAAACAGATTTTTTAAATGCTCACCATTGTCCTTGCAATAACAATATTGGTCGTTGTTAAATCCCAACGCTGATTTTGCACAAAATGTAAATCCAATACAAATACAAATCGTGCAAATTCATTCATGCAGTTGTTCATTTTTTTCAGTAGCTTTCCGGTCAGGGGCATGTGGTGGGCTTATCGATATTCTCAAGGAAAGTTTTTACTATTTTCAAGAAACGTTTTGTCATTTTCATGTTTTTTTTTTTTTATATTTTATATATCTTCTTAGCTCCAGCAAAATTGATATATTTCCCAATTTGTCAAGCCAGCTATACTTATTTTATATAGCCCCTTTGCTCTAAAAAACTTGAGGCATTTTGCCAAAAAATAATTCTTCTACGCCCCTGCCTTGGCTAGAAAATAGACAATACACAACCAAAGTACAATGCCTCATTTCGTACCAATCGAAATGCAATTTAATTTCTGCCGTATTGTAGATTTTGCTTTACATTTTTATATCTGTCTTCTCGAAAAAAAATATTCCCAAATGACAGCAGCCCCTATTGTCGATGTCATCATTGTCGACATAAAATTGTTTGTAATTCAGATTCAATTGTTTCAAACAACAGTTTTTTATATTTTTGTGCTGATTGTAAGGCCGGCTGTAGGTAATAGTAGCATCAGCATTTAGTCCAACCGAGGATGGGGTAGGCGTTTGGTGTGTGGGAGGGGCACAATGTATGGCAGTATGTGAACAAGTGAAAATTGAAATTCGTAACATGTAAGTTGTTTCTCAACAAATTGATTTTTCTTTATTTTTATTCACAGCAGCAGAATTGTTGTAAGGGTGGCAATGATATCTACTCCATACAATTTATGGTATTCTTTCAGAGTATCAAATATTTGATTTTTAAAGTATATTCTTGCGGTATACCCTATTATTTATTTTATATTCCAACCAAAATGAATCTCTTTCATGTCATCAAATGTTTTGTTCTACAAATGATAATCTTTGTTCTTTGTCTTCTTCTTTTTTTACAGTAAAAATGCAACAAATTTGGAAAAATTTCAATTGAGAATAACCAAACATGAATTGTATGCTGAAAATGATACATTGGTTGATGCTTTGCTAAAGGATATGATCAAATTGCCCATAAAGCATGTTGGTAAGTTGAACGCACACACATCGATTTATAAATATATGTTCATGTACATTGTGTTGTTGATAATTTGATATGCAGAGACATACATGCATACACAGTGTTTTCCTATGTGTCAAAGATGTGTCTTAAATATTGGTAAAATTCAATTAAACACCCAAATAATGAAATACAAACATACCCACATAGAGAGATATATATATAGAGAGAGAGAGGGAGCTAAAAACATAAAGAGTTACAAAAATAAATTGTAATCCGATTATATTATAATTTTAAAAATTGACATTGCAGCTTCGGTTACATGTAAATATAAAACGAAAATTAAAAGGAAAATATATGGAAAAAATAGGAGCCGGCTTGAACTTTCAGTACCGTCAACGATGGGGAAAACTTAATTTATTTCAGAGGAGCTTTGAAAATGTGGTAACTGTTATGGAAATAATAATTTTGAAATAGTATTCAACCGAGTACAAATCTAAAGTACCTAATTACAAACCTTTTTATTAAAAAATATGGCCAGGTTCTTTCAAATTAATCAATTCCAAAAAAAAAAACAAGTTAGCAGAGGCTATAGCCGCGCGGGGCCCACCATTTTATACCCTACAATACTACAATATGTTTGAAGTCCCATTTTGTCCTAATCCATTTTGGAAGATTTCGCTTTTAAAATAATCTCAAAGAGCCCAGCCCAGGTGTTACCCTTAGGTTTCTGACCCAGGGAATTTGGCCAATGGCCATAAAAAACGCTAGACTTCTTCCCTGTCCTCAATTAACTTCTGATGCGCAATTTCGGTTTTCAATTGTTGCCGATAGAGCGACTACAAAATTAGAAAAATTTGAAATTTGTTAGTCCATTTGAACCCTTAAATGTACATCCTAAGAATACTAGGCTTCAATTCTGACACTAATCCTACCCCATGCAAAAATTTCGTGAGGATCGGACGATAATTGTTAATGTACAAAATTAGAAAATTTACGTTTCAACACTGTAAGTCAAATTGAAAAAAAAAATCGCATTCGATAAAAAATATGACAAAAATAGAAAAAAATGGAACAAAAGATATTCACTTTGTTTTGGTATATTTTTTCAGGATTTTCTTAGATTTTATCCTCTTCTGGCAAAAAACTACTATTTTTTATTTTTTTTAATTTTTTTATGTTAATTGTGAAAATCGGCCCAGCGGTTATTGATTTATAAGCAGAATAAATAAGATATATTTCTTTTACTTATGTGTTGTACCTTTGTATCTTGGCTCTAAGCATCACTTTAATGGTCAGAAATTAGATCGACTCAGCTCGGCGAGATAGGTTCATATGTGTGGATTCGATTCGATGTGTTACATAATTATTAGCTCAATGAAACTTATAATACCACCAACACATAATGTGTTTGTCAAAGAAGGAGAGTTATGACATAGAATCCGTTGTGAATGGAATCGGTTATATATATATATATATATATATATATATATATATATATATATATATATATATATATATATATATATATATATATATATATATATATATATATATATATATATATATATATTATACAAGGAGAATGAATGCCCTGTAACTTTTTCAAAAATTAAGAAAATGAGAAAGTTTTTCTTGTTTTAAATTAGTTACTTTATTCACTTTTTAAAAACCTAAAACATAAAACTAAAATTCATTTTTATATAAAAAAAATTATGTTTGGTAAAGTCAATTAATCCGAATTTGGCTTGGACAAAACAAAAGCAACTCTGTTGTACATTTATATAACCGCTGCAATTTCAGTTGTTTTTAATGTGATATTTATCGCTTTTTGCTTCCTTCGACAATTTCGCCTGTCATAAATCCTTTTTGAGAAGTTTTTTATAACAGTATGTATTTTTCTTTTCGTTTTTTAAGTACTGCCCAAAAAAATTTTACAAAATGGCTAGAAGCAAATACAGTACCTGAATAAAACTGCAAATTATCAGTGACTATCAAAACAACATATCACGGAAAATGATTTCCGAGAAATATTTCATAAATATTTATGTGATTTCATAATTATTTCTGTATACTAAGTCGGTTTTTTGAAACTGGATCAGTAGTAACTGTCTATAACGGATGAAGGTCGTGAAAAACTTCAGCCCGTACTGATCCACAAATTGTGAGAGAAATAAAAAACAACTATTTAAGAGTTCAACTGGATTAGTGAGAGAGCAATCATTGGATATCAGCTCGAGATCAGTGCGTAGACGAGTAGTGGCAGCTGGTCTGCATGCCCGTAAGACATCGAAAAACCATTTATATCCGAAAAAATCAAAAAGGCTTTCGGAAACGATAATGTTAAGTGGGATCAAGCTCAATGGAAAAAACACTATTTCTGGGATGAGTCTACGTTTAATATTAAAGGCTCAGACGCGAAAAAATTTACGGTGAGAAGACCAAAAAATGAAGGACTCAAGCCGCAGTGTTGCAAAGGTACAGTGAAGCATGAGGGAGGGTCAAAAATGGCGTGGCGTTGTTTTTCTTTCTATGGATTTTGGCCTATCCATAAAGTAAAGAAAGTTGTGGATCGGTTTGTTTACAAAGATGTGTTGAACAGTACGTTGTTCCCTTACGCCGAGTAAAATATTCGGCTGATTTGGGTGTTTCAGCATGACAATGATCCCAAACTTGTATCAAAACTTGTTAAATATTGGTTGCGGGAGTCAAAAATTGATGTTTTGTTATGGCCGGCACAATCACCTGACCTAAACTCCATAGAAAACCTTTGGAGTATCGTAGATAGGAAGATTAAGCGAGATTCGGAAATAAATAAGCACAACATTTTCTAAAGAATTCGGGGTGCCTGGGAAGGCACACCCAAGGATCAAATTGAGCGTGTTATAGATTCAATGCCTCGTAGGTGTGTAGCTGCTATCAAAAATAATGGTTATGCTATCGACTACAAGCCAAAATTTAATTATTTTAAAATCAAAAATCAAAAGTTGCTTTAGTTTTGACCAAGCAAAAATTGGGTCATTTTAGTTTTTCACATATTATTTTTCGTTCAAAATTATTTTTGTATTTTTATTTTTAGTTTCTTAAGAGTGAATTAAACCCCTCATTTAAAACTAGAAAAATAATTACGATTTGTTTATTTTTGTAAAAGTTACAGGACATTTATTGTCTTTGTCAGTAATCAGTAAACACAAAAGTTCACGAGATAACTGATTCGCACTTTATTCGTTGTTCAATACTTAATTATGAAGTAGCTGTAAAATATTTTTTTATAAAAAAAAAAAACAATATTAAATAAACACAAATGACAAATAATAATAACATTACATTTCAAACTAAAAAATTGAAAATGATTTTTTCAGAAAAATAATTATAAGAAAGAAATTATCTGCTGAAATTATTACACATATTTTTTACATTTTTGAAACAAGATTCCTTGGAATACTCGCATTTTAGGTAAAGAATATCTTTTGCAATATTACTGATAATAATACGAGTATTATTCTTTTAAATGGGGTCTAATCTATTCTTTATTAAATTATTTGTTATAAAATTCTACCAATTGTCTCACAATAGATAAGGTCTAAATCTTAACCAAACGTCAGAAATTCATAAATATTAAAATAATATTTTAAGGTAATGAGAATTTATGAAAAACTAACCTCCAAAAATATTTTAAAAGACAAAATATTCTTTATTTAACTTCACTATACTCATACTTTTGAATCAATTTTTTCTCGTTAGTTGTTCGATTTGAAGCAAGAAAATACCATTAAATTTCTTTTTAGGAAAAAACGATGTCCGTCCGTCCATCCATCTATGTTTCCGAACGAATTGAAGTAGGTTGATAAATTTTATTCAGATGTGTGTTTGGTCTACAGGTCTTTTGGTATTGCAAAATGAGCTATATAAGTCCACGTTTTGAAATAACCTCCATATGTATAAATGTACCTACCTACCTATATTCAGTATTTTCATGTTGCTAGCGACATCAAGAATTGTTTAAAATTTCGTATTTATAGTTCGTTCTGGGTACTGCAGTCTGTGACAGAAAAATGACTAGGAAGGTCGACCTTCTCATTTAGCCCCCATATAACGATACCTCCCAATATTTTGGTATTTTAATGATTACAGCGACATTATTCACCGGAATTGTTTCAAATTTCGTATTTGTAGTTCGTTATGGGTACTACAGCCTGTGAGAGAAAATAACCCATCCAGGTCCATGTCTTCGTATAGCCCGCATATAACGGTATCTCCCTATATTCGATATTGTTTCATATTTGCAGTTCGTAATAAGTACTATAGTCTGTGACAAAAACATTTCTATGCAGGTCCACATTCTCGTATAGCTCCCATAAAACGGTACCTACCTACATTCGTTATTTTGATGTTTTTGAGACATTATTCACAGGAATTGTTTCAAATTTCGCATCTGCAGTTCGTAACGGGTACTACAGCCTATGACAGAAAATTACCCATGCTTGTCCACATCTTCGTATCGACCCCAATATAACGGTATATTTGTTAATTGTATGATTTGAATGATTCCCAAATTCATTCCAAATGGCAGAGCGTATTCAAAGTTCGGAGCAGCCAAACTTACTGTTTTTTTATTTGTTTTATGTACGACAAACTAAGCCCTTTTCCTGAATTCGCTAATAGCTTTCTTATAATTCTAGTAGCCAGTATGGCTTGCGGAAAATACGAGGTTTAATTTATAATTCTCCGTTACACATCAACAATCGCAACATTTAATACTAGTTTAAGAATGATTAGTATAAAAATGGGTTATACCGGTGATATCACTTTTTTGTATAGACCTACATAAGAGTAATTCCTGATTTAAAGTATTTTTTAGTCGTAGTTCCTACTTATTTTGATTTATCTCCAAAGTTTGGTATTTTGAGTCGTTATTATGAATATACGCTACTAACAAATAATTATCAATATTTGTCCACGTTTTGATAAAGCCATATTATTTTGGGACCTGCGAAATGATTATGTGCCATATCGACCCATGTTTA